TAGTATGTCATTCAATTTATGCTGCCAGCTTCACACACTCCACTGCAAAAATAATCTGACACCGAGTTTCCACTGACGTGCACGTTTTGATACTCTTTCGCAGGTAAGCTAACAGCACACAAATGACGCACACAGATTGCGCGGGTGCAGCCGGTGCTTGCCATACCGATGTGGATGAGCAGCGAGATGGGAGTGAAGATCAACAGGATGCTGGTGTTGATGAATCAAGTATTGTTGTGCAGCAGAATGTGTCCGTGGAAGGGCGACCCGGTGGGGGTTGTTTTCTTCAGGATGTCACGACCAAAGCTGCGGGTGCAGCATCCTCTTGGACATCAAAGCACCATATCTCGGACACGGTTCGGTACGTAGAGCCTACTGACCCATCGGCCACAGTCCACATTTCGAGCAGGAATACTAATGTGGTCCACACACATCTAGAATTATAGATACAGTACAGTTTGTCTCCAACTTGTGGTCACACATCCCCCAATCGATTGATAACAATCATGCACCAATATTCCCCCCACATCTTCATACCTCATGTTTACTTTTCTATTAATTCCAATTCCGTTGATATAATGTGGCACATCTTGGTGACGCAGATAAAATCACAACGTGACCCACAACAGCAACGAATCGTGTTTGTCTACCTGCGTGCAACTTTCTCTCTTGCCTTCCTGCTCACATCTTTCTCATCTTTCTCATGACGATTTCGAACAGTTTATTGGTAACAATAAATTCGTCTCAGTGCTGCGTGCGTCATTTTTCTCCAGTGTGACCAAGTGCTTGCAATTGGAAATGTTCGATTATAGTGGAAGCAAATCGCTTCATCACGATTTGAGCGTGAGACGAGGTACTTCCAGTGTTGATCGAGCTAGACTTATGAAGCATTATAGTCAAATGGCAACCGATATTTTCCTGTGAACACGCATGCATAAACGAACCTCACTTTCCGAGTGATCAGCCTCAGAATATCGCATCTTAACAATTCCAGTGAGATATGTAGACAACGAAATAAACCGACTGATTATCCCCAAATCTCACTGAAATCATGAATTCTCGATCAGTTCAAACTTTTGTCGACTAATCGTAATCTATTCCTTATCTTCCTCAACTATTTCCACTTATCGCATATAGAAATTGATCGCAATATTTTACTGGTTTACAGCAACAATGTATAATACGTAGACGACATCTGCGCCACTGAAGTAACGTCTCTCCATCTCACTCAACAAATGCTATATGATCCATTTTGAGGTTTAGTAGACTGAGAATATTTTGAGTGAGTTGCCCCGAACGCAATTGCAGCTGAGACCAGTGCTTCTCGAATTCGCTCGTTTGAACTGTTTTCTGATGTGTTGATTTATCTTGTTTACTCAAATCTCTATATATATTGTGAATTGCACGCAAATGTATTTTCTTCTACTGAGCAAAAGATAGGCATTTATTTAATTACTTAAAGCAACATCCAGTCCAAGTAGTATTAAGGGTTGATGAAATCCAGAGCCCACTTTTTTCTTCAACCTTATGAGCGGACATTTTTCCGAGACATATTTGCGTCTGGCGATTCAAATCGAACCTCTGTGACTACCTACAGACAAAACGCTCCGCGACTGTAACTGCATTTGCGCCGATTCTTCAGTATTTTATTTGAAACGTGCATACAAATCTTGGCTAGAGGATAATCGTAATTTTACTGGTTAAATTATATGCATTTGAATGCCATCCATCGTAATCGCAGGGCAGGATTTGTTGACAGCTCCAGCAAGGCAAATGATGTGTCATACTTTGTGTTGGATGAAATGCAGTGTGGACTGCTTTAAATGTACTTCACCTTCATCTGTTGAATCCAATGTATGCGAAAGTGATTAGTTTAAGCGTTAAGTTTGCAGTAACGGAGTTACCCACTGGGAATTCGGAGAATATGCACGCAACATTGCTAAATGTCTTTAATTATAGCAAAGCGGGCAAGTGGTACAATCTAGACTGGAAGTTGCCCACGCCTCCGTGGTTTCATCCAATTCCTAATCGCCGCAAACGTGAAGAATCTTTGCAGTCAATGGTAGAGCGTATAGACTCACTAGCAAACCAGTTCCTCAAATATTTATTAGGGCTCTCTGAAACCCTCAGACTTCGAAAGCTCACGTTCGTACAACCCTATAGCAATGCGTCAGAATTATAGCCAGCCCCTCCACTGAGACAGATGAACTGATATTAACGCTCTGATGCAACGAAAGTGCAGGGTTTAGCTACAGAAAGAAGTTGTCTAAATGAAGAGATAAATATAAGCGATCGACAGTGAGTTGGATCTGACTGACTAGTCGAGGGTTCGGTAGCCTTTCTTAACAGAACGTACTTAGGTTTCTCGGAAAGTTGTACAGCCAGGATAAAATGTTTGGCTATGGGACCACCAATCACTTCTGCACCGGTGAACCTACATATTAATGAACTAACATCAAGTCATTAATCAACACAGCTAGCTTACCGAGCGTTTACTGATACAACGCTGTTGACACCTCTGCAGCTGTTAAACAAGAAGGGAGCGATGAACTATTTAACCGATTCAACGCTGTTGTCGTGCGTATACACTTTGCTTCTGCGCTGGATTCTTGCAGCGGTACAATACAATCACTTGGCTACATAGTTCACAGAATTTGTGGAAGTTCAACATGATCACATATTTCAGATGACAGACTTCGATACGGTAGGCGATTCCAATTCGGGTGATCGGAAACAAGGTTACGTTGAAATATCCTCAGCGTTAATTTACGAGACAAAGAACCCCGTGCACCATGGAGGCTTTCGGACAATACGCTCGGAATGTGGCGCTGGGTTAACCACCAGTCGAATGCCAGTTGCGTAAAGTGCTAAACAACCATAGAAGACCAATGAAAAATGAACAATGATTTATCACGGGATAAAAGCAAGTGCCTTGTCACATCTCGTGTCATGTCAAAATATGAACATCATGACAATGAACATCCCACCATAATATGAACATCAGTGTAAAATTAAAAAGTCGAGCGTAAACGTTCAGTAATACATTGGAGTACAGTGGTCGTTGATGGAAAGCGTGGGAAAAGTAAAATATGGTCACTCACTTGGGTCAATTTGATACATAAATCCGGTAGAAAAGTATGCTTGACGCAATTCACAATAGAGGAGTTTAGGCAACAAAGTGCTGAGAACTAAGAGCACTACATAATCGTATTTTTGAAAACATCCCAGTTTGAAGAGGATACAACTGAGTCCTGGGAGTGCATTCCAGAGTTGGCAAACCCGAAGGGAAAAGTAATTACGTCGAAACTCTAGACGGCCATATTGTTCCTTCAATTTTTAAGCAGTTAACCCTGATCTACGCGTTATGGCTAAGTTTCAGCAAGTGGCGGCATACGTGGTTGCGGTCACGCAATATCTCATACGCTAATATGAGTTCGCCGCGCAGCCTTCGATAGCGGCCAGCGTTCCCAGCAACTTCAGTCATCGGTGGTAAGATTGATAACGCAGACCCTTTACATTCTTTGTTGCTCTTCGTTGTGGTGTCTCTAACGCCTCTAGGTCGCGCTTCAACCAAGGTTGCAAAGCTTGCCATGCTACCTTAGCTTGTTTTGAACAGTTGTGGTCGCTCTGTACGAACACACCAAGGTCACGCTCCTGGGAGCGGGTCTTCAATCCGTTTGTCCCAAGCAAATATGTGTAGTTCGGTCTATGGCGCAATCGCACATTTCTCTACGCTGAATGGTAGGGCGTTTTAAACTGACCAGTTCGACACCGTGTCAAGATCGTACTTGAGCCGTTCGTGGTCACCCGGTACTCTGATCCTTCTCCCTATCTTGATATCATCAGCGAAATCTAGGCAATCGAAAGCGATTGATCTCGCCAAGTCGTTAATGAACACGAAGAAATGACGAGGTCCAAGCACCGAGCCTTGGAGTACACCACACACCACATGGATGGCATCGGATAATGATTCTCGGACTCTCACCACTAGCCGTCGTTCGTGTGGAAAATTGCCAATCCAACTCAGGATTGGATCGCCAATGACGTAGTTCCGAAGCTTCTGATGAAGTATTCGATGGTCTAAGCAATCAAACGCTTTTGAGAAGTCCAGGTTGATAACATCGACTTCTGCTCCATCATCAACAGCTTCAGTCCATCTATTACGTGCAATTAACAGGTTAGTATAACATGAATGCTTTCTACGAAAGCCATGTTGCTCTGGGGCTATTAAGCTGTGGTTTTCCAGATACTGCATCAGCGCATCTGCGATGATTGATTCCATCACTTTGGATAGCACAGGAAGTAGCGTTATTGGACCGCAGTTGTCAGGGTCAGTACGGCTACCTCCTTTATGAATAGGAGTGATGACCCCTCGCTTTCATACTGGTGGAATATGGTTCTATTCTAGAGGTCGCTAATAGAGAATAGCCAATGGATCTACTAGATCACTAGCCACCGCCTGCAGAGCATTTGGTCGAACGTTGTCGACTCCAGGAGAACTGTGGATACGCTAGGATAACAATTACTTTAACACATCTTCCGCAGTAAAGGTGATATGGTCTAAACCCGACTGTGGAGTAATAGAAACGAGAAGAATGTTTGGACTCATTACTTGCTGGTAAGCTAGGGCGTAATGAAGCCGTAGGGGATCAGCTGCTTCCATTGCTGATCGCGTGTACCCATCAGAAGTGACTAGTGTTGGAATCTCCCGCTTCACCTTTCGAAAACCGTTAACGTGCCTGTACAGTAGTTTGCGGTTCGTGCAGAATCGCTTCATTAACTCCTGCTGATGCGTGACCTTGTCTTCGCGGATCAGTTTCACCCAGTAGTTACGATATATGCCACGTACGTAGTCCAGATATCGGCATTCGAGCAGCCCTTGTGATCTTGCCATGCCAAATCCCTCCGGGACATAGATTTACGTGTTCTGCTCCTCAGAATTGACATCTGCTTTTTATAGAAGTATTTCTGTTCCGATGCGTGCGCAACCAGTGTGCTAAACGTCCTAGTAAAGCTTCCCAAGACAACACCTGGGGGACATTCGGTTAAGAAAGTCCATGATGTATCCTTAACAAGCGTAGCTAACACATCAACCGCGTGACAGTGTACAATTTATCATCCTCCATTTCAGGAAACTCCACATTTGCGAATTGCCGAAACACTTGTTTGCTTAGGTTGTCGCATGTTGCATATTTTAGTGGTTTATTAGTGTGACATAAACTCACCATTTGATGGACAAGCCCGTTGTCTTATTCTTTAGCGTTTCGCCGTTGCTGCGATTAAGCGATCCAACTTTTGGACCACACATTGTTTTATATCATGAGGCATCGCCGACATTTCGCTTAGCTTGTACTCAGTAATAATGTAACAGATATTGCCAAGTTTTGCGATCGCTTACTTTATTAATTCTGGAATTTGCGCGCAATTAAAAATCGCTCAGCACATTGGCGAATAGCTGATTATATTGCGCTCAGATACACTGTTGTCGTGTGTAGTACACGTACGTTTAAATACTGAGTCTAGGCGGCAAGTAAATACACTATGCGCTAAACTAACTTACCACTTAATGGTACACTATGTCCAAACGACGATTGGTGTTCCTTTTTTGCCGATGGGTGCGCCACTTGCAAAGAAACATAAAACCATTTTCATTCGAGCTAACTGATTACACAGCCCTACAAACCGGTGGTCGCTTACGATTTTGAGGTTGACTTCCAATGCTTTATGAATAAATTCTTATCGAAGATG